CTCAACCTTTTATTATTGTCTTGTGTGCCTATCGTCTACCACACAGCCTCAACAACTATTGCAGCTAATAATAATAATAATCTTAATATAATAATGATTATAATAACAACACATAATTAGCCTAATACTGTTAAAGAAAAACGTGTTTGATAGCATGTCTGCTGTGTATAACTCCACCACGTTAAAATAATTCTCAAATGGCAGTGCCCCCCTGCTGGTGACCCATGCCCCTCCAGTAGATGTGCTCTGACACCGACTCTGCTGACACTCAACAAGTGCGATCATATTTCATTACGGCCGCTGCTGTTGGTAATAAACTTGTACAGGTGTGCCAGAGCGTGTGGGGCGTCTCAGTGCAGCCTGTGTGCTCATTTGAAACCCGCGGAGACTCTACGGTACATCACAAACACACACACTTCCTATGCACGGTTCATCTGCAACAGCGTGTGCCCTCGTGTACCAGCGTGCATCACAGGGCAGGTTCAACTTCCTAAACATCCTACCTGTCCATCTGCCTCACGTCAGCACGCCGCCCCTCGCCTTTTCACGCTCTCGCTCCTTCCTGCGTACAGCGAACACAAGCCCCTCCCACAGTGCGGCTGATTAGAAGAGCAAGACCAAACGTGAAGCAAAAACAAGTCTAAATTTGTGTTACAGTGTTGGCACAAAGCAGGTCTACAGCATAGAGCAGATCTACAGAACAGACCTACTGCCACATTTGGCTGAAGTTTGTCTAACAAAAGTGCACAAATGCATCTGTGTTTGTCACGATGTGCGTTTGGTTTGGTAAACGTGCAGAGGCTGGTAAATATCACTGCAAAACCAGAAAAGAATGCAACTCCAGTTTGGAACTTTAAAAAACAGGTTTAAAAATCTTCCTTCACTTTTTTCATAGTTTTGTGTAAAGTGCCAGAGGAAGTTCTCTTAAAGAAGGGGTTCTCAAACTGTGGGTGAGGGTCCAAAAAAGGGGCACAGAGTGTTTCAGTGCAGTTTCCTTGGCTTTGTATTAGGTAGATCATTACGACTTGGTCATTTTGTAAGTAGCTCGCATGCTGAAAAAGTGTGAGCAGCCCTGCTTTAAAAGAATTAGTAACACATGTGCGTGGTGACAGTCATGGAGAAGTTTTTAAAATGGACGAATGCAAACTCCGAACTGGGCCCTGGACAAGATTCTGACCCAGAAGAAGAGCTTTTCAAACTTAACTGCTATAAAAACTAAAAACAGAGAGAGACTGAGAGCTGTTGATGAAGAGCTTCGTGTGTGTCTTTCTTCTATTCCTGCCAGGATATCAGCTTTGTGTTCATCTAAACAGGCGCAGGTCTCACACTGAGTAAGTAGAAATTAATGTAGAAATTATATTGTAATTAAATATACTGTATAGTGTCATTTTGTAACATTTTGGTTAGTGGTGTGCCGCAAGATTTTTCCAATGTAAAAAAGTGCCGTGGCTCAAAAAAGGTTGAAAAACACTGGATTAGTCTATAAGTGCTCAACCATATAAAATGTCTTTAAAGACTACAAAAGACAAGACTAGATTTAAAACAGCAACTACTATACGATCTATAACATTTAAAGTTGAACTGTGAACAGTGTTGGGAAGGTTACTTTTAAAATATATTCCCCTACAGATTACAGATTACATATCCCAAAATGTAGTTTGTAACGTAATCCATTAAATTACTTAAAGTGAGTAATGTAATCTGAATACTTTGGATTATGTCACGTGGAAACAGAGGGAGGACCCAAAACGCAGGACTGCTTCAAATTTCATATTTAATGACAAATCAAAAAAATCCAAAACTCAAGAGTAAATTGCCATGACAAGAGACACAGAGACACAGAGACAATGGACCAACACAGGGTATAAATGCACACACATGAATGAGACACAGGTGAGACACATTAGGGCGGGGCAAACAATCAACAACAAACAATCAGGAAGTAAAACTCAGAACTGCAAGCAGACAAAACAAATGTCAAAATAAAACACAAACTACAACCACTACAAAACATGAACATGACAGATTACTTGATATTGTCCTGCTTTTTCCACTTGTTTTGTATATTACCATTTGTCATGTAATAAATAAATTAAATATATATGTATATTGTCATGTTTTTTAAAACTACATGAATGTAACAACCACATCCTGAAAATGACTATACTTGACCACATAAAAAATATTATTGATAGAGAATTTATTTTTATATGAAATCACAATTATGTCCACCTACTGTTAGTGTCATATTGTATTAGTTTAGTCCTAGTTTAGACCTGGTTTTAGTCCTAGTTTAGTCCTGGTTTTAGTTCTGGTTTTAGTCCTGGTTTTAGTTCTGTTTTTAGTCCTGGTTTAGCCCAAAATGTGAAAACAGGAAAATACCACCATGTAATCCATTTATTTCAACAAAGTAACTGTAATCCAATTACCACTCACTGAAACAGTAACTGTAACTGAATACAGTTACTCATAATTTGTACTCTGAATACGTAACTCCGGTACATGTAATCTTTTACTCCCCAACACTGACTGAATGTTTCAAAGTCAAACTGAAATAAAGAACTTTTTTTGAACATATATGCGCCAGCAAAAGTGTGAAATAGGCTACACTGTGCAAGCATAGAATATGCTCAAAATATAATAGAATATTCTAAAATAAATGTTTAACTCTGGGTAGATACATGAATAATGATACTTAGAGCTGTAGTACTTTGCTGTTACTGTTACTGTTACTGATTTGGTTGTTTCCTCTTGCTGTATTTATGAAGATGAACTGCTGTCAAGATGATGCTCTGACAAAGAGACCAGGATTCTTTTCACAGAAGAGAAGCCCCGAGGGCATTTTTTTTTTCTTTTTTCTTTTTTTTTTATGTAATTTGAGGGGGCTGATTCGGAATATTTTGTTTACCAAGCTGGATTTTGAGTTCTAAGCCTTCTAGTTTGCATATATATATATATATATATATATATATATATATATATATATTTATTTCTTTATTTATAACATGCACACATCATCATTAAAGGGCCCATATTATTTTTGATCTATGTTATAATGTTGTTTCAAAAATATACCCAGAGTTGTGTTTTCTTTCATTCGCATGTTTAGAGTTCTTCTTTAGAGTTCTTCTCGCAAATGGAAAACCGTATGATGGAAGACAAAGGAAAACCTTGTGATGTCATATGGTAATAGAATAGAATAGAAAGCCTTTATTGTCATTATATAATAGTATAATGAAATTCAGAATAATGCAGAAAGTTCTGTGTTTTTAAACTCAATACACCTTCACTAGAATCATTTGGATAATTTCAGGAATTTTCAATGATCGTCAATTTCCACTGAACTAAAGGTAAAAGGAGCTGTTAACCTCAAAACTTCAGCTTCATGACATCACAAGAGCATTTTGTGCTTTGGAGATGTAGACAGACTAACAATAAAGGATTACTCAAACATATGTCAATGAAACAAAACACAACTCCAGGTATGTTTTTGATGAGGTAATAGCATTATAACAATCCTTAAAGCTCACAAGAGTCCATTTCACATCATATAGGACTTTTAACTAGAGGCATTCAGCCCAAAAAGAGTAGACTGAAGCTGCTTATGAGCACCTACCCCCATATAGTTTCTTATTTACTGTTGCAAAACTTTCTTCCTGTTACGTACACTTGGAACATTTTACAATATTTAGAAATAACATGATCCTCTCACTCCTTTCTTATTACAGTTTTTCTTTAATTGTCAATGTTGTTATTATTATGCATACCGAGGCCCACACACACTACTGCATACACCTGCCTTTCTGTGGACATGTGCTGATGTGTAATACCATATAGAAACGCACAAACATCACTCTGTGTATATGCTTGTCTATGTACATGGAATTATTTAGATTACTCTATATCACTATAAACAATACAGCTATACTGACTTACACACTTCATTTGACACATACAGGACTTTCAGATGCAACAGAGGACGAATCAACAATAACTAACTTATTATCTGAACAAACTCTAACCTATACTCAGTGTTGGGGAGTAACGGATTACTTGTACCGGAGTTACGTAATCAGAGTACATTTTATGAGTAACTGTATTCAGTTACAGTTACTTTTTCAGTGAGTGGTAATTGGATTACAGTTACTTTGTTGAAATAAATGAACACATCGGTATTTTCCTGTTTTTACATTTTGGGCTATATCTCTTTTTTTTTTTACGTAATTCCACTAATTGCCAGACACTAAACCAGGACTAAAACCAAGTCTAAACTAGGTCGAAACCAGGACAAAACCAAGACTAAAACCAGGTCTAAACCAGGTCTAAACCAGGTCTAAACCAGGTCTAAACCAGGTCTAAACCAGGACTAAACCAGGACTAAAACCAAGTCTAAACTAGGTCGAAACCAGGACAAAACCAAGACTAAAACCAGGTCTAAACCAGGACTAAACCAGGCCTAAACCAGGACTAAAACCAGGACTAAAACCAAGTCTAAACTAGGTCGAAACCAGGACAAAACCAGGACTAAAACCAGGTCTAAACCAGGTTGAAAACCAGGTCTAAACCAGGTCTAAACCAGGATTTAACAGGACTAAACCATGCCGCATGGACCGTGTCTCCTCCTCTTCTATCAATAATATTTTTAATACGGTTAAGTAAAGTTTGGGCTTTTTATTTTCTTTTAGCAGACAAAACATCTTATGTGAAGATTTCCTCATCTTTGCTTCTCTACAGTAAATCAAGTAATCCAAAGTATTCAGATTACGTTACTCACTTTAAGTAATTTAATGGATTATGTTACAAACTACATTTTGGGGTATGTAATCTGTAATTTGTAGGGGAAAACATTTTAAAAGTCACCTTCCCAACACTGCCTAGACTTGTGCATGTGTGTTAAGTGTAACATCTAAATATAATTACTTCATGTATCCTTTTCTATACAGTGATAACAGATAAGACACAAAACAGTTTTTTTTTTTTTTTTAATTTCCCTTTAATTACAAAACAACATATCATAGAACAATAAATAAATCTACCAGTGAAACATTATTGGTTAAAGTACAAAAGAATAATAACTAAAAATTAAAGATTCAATGAAGGTTGTTCCGATCAGAACCACAGGTATATATCTCATTAATTGTCACATTTGTGTAACAGATTTAAACTAATGCATTTAATCTTGGACAAATGAAGAAATAAAAACAAACAAACAAAAAAAGCATTCTACACATGAGCTAGCTAAATTGGAAGTTATACCTATTATACATTTTGTACAAAGTCAGTGCTCAATTAGCCTATTATTTTCCTCCATTAGGCATGCATGTGTTTATACAGGAAACATTGGACTTAACTTTCTGGCATTTACAACAGATCTATAAACCTATATAATGACATTCTATTTTTGAACCAGTGAAAAAATAAAAATACATACATTTTCATTCAGTTTCATGTTAAAATGACACAAGCGTATTTACATTTAAACCAACCAGTATTCATGGTCTTAGTTTCTTGTTTATAGATGCCATTTTGAGTACTTTTTACTATTGGAAAGATATAATATTTTTTTGTTTTGAATTGTTAATCAACGGTGCTAAATTTTCACCACTCTAAAACTCATGGATAGATGTTTGTTGCGAATGTTAGGGTTGGGTTGGGTCCATGGAAATTGTGACGTTTGGAGTTGAGGAAATAACATTCAAAAGCATTAGAGTCAATGGAAAAAAACAACAACAATACAATCAAAAATCCTCTTCTCTTTTATGTAAGAAAATGAGCTTCACTTGGGTTTTGAAGGGGACAGTGATGCAGTAGACTTGGTCAGCTGAGGTCTTTAAATCTGCATGTGATAAACAACATATTGATTATTTTGGTTACACTTTATGATAATTACACCTTAATAAGCCTTAATAAAGCATGAAATAATATTAAAGAAGACTTATTGTGCATGTGTTTGCTTAATAGTTATAATCTATGACACCAGTTAATCATGATGTTATATTTTGTTCATTTTAAATCACAATATTCATCTCAAATGACTTCCACGTTAGAAAACTGTGGTGCCCGATGGGAGCTGACGTCACCGTAAATGTCATCACGATAAAGCTCTGCGATGGATAGCTGCAGATCACACTAGCGAGCACCGGATATTTTTTTATTTGTACCAAAAACAAATTCTGCTCATATCACAGATGAAGAAAATAAACTGGAGAATGAAGATAGTACAGAGCTGTGGGCGTGGGTCAGTGGCGGTGAAAACAGGGATTGATTGGATATATGGTGTCTTAAAAATAAGCGATAAAAGATTACTCAGACATGCACGGGGTGAGTAAATGTTGAGGAGAAAGATAACATGGTTAAAAACTCTAAAAAGTTGATTTTGCATAAAGTCTGCTTTAAGACGGATTCATGTTTAGTAACTAGTAGCAGGGTGAGGAGTAGAGGGGCACTATGAAATGTTTCTGGTGGAGAGCCTGCCACTTGCTTGTCTCCTTGGGAATGGTATTCCTTTGCCTGAAATAATCCACAATATGGCATTAAATGTATTTTGCATTCATTCAATTTCAGGGGCTTTTACTGCTGAAAAATATCTCAAATAAAATGTAATATAGTTTTAGACCCCGTCCACACTAGTATGTATTCAAGTCGTTTTCGCTGCAGATGCAGTGTTCGTCCACACTAATCCGACTGAAAACGGCTTCAGAGACGGAACGATCTTGTGCCACCAGCTCCCATGAATTCATTTGAGTACAGATCTGATCTGGCACTGTGTGGACGCCTGAAAACACTGATACACTGATGTAGGTCTATGCGCCACGAAGTAATTCACTGCCAAAACGCTCTAAACGGTCTATGTGCATGACCTGCAGACGTATAATGTCTGAAAAATTTAACATGAAGCATCTCCAACACGATGGAAGCACAGAACAAACTCACCATCAGCAGAACACCCCTCTGTCACAGAAAGAACATTTATATTCCACTGAGTCATTTCCTTCAGTCTGACAGAAGCTGAACCGCATCAGCACACAATAGCGAGCTGTTTTTTGAGCGCTTAGTTTATGCAAATTAGCCTTGTGGTTTTAAGTTTTGTTTCTGTAAAATGTAAACAAATATGCACAAAGCTGTGTGGATAGGAAAGGCTTGCGGACACAGAAACTACGTGTCTGGACGCAGATCACTTCCGATACGGTGATACGCGGATTCGTTTCAGTGTAAACGTAGTCTTAGTGTGAGTGGGGTCAGTTCTCCTGTAACATGGTCTAGTAGTTGTCTCTATGGTGATTGGTATGTTTAAGTGGACACTGTGGAGCATTCCAGGAAAAACAACATTGTATAGTGCACTTTTAACTAAGTGGTCACTAAGCCTAAGTTGATTTTAATAAACAATTTATTTGCTATGAATTAAGATATCATGCTTTATTAAAACTAATTAAGATGTAGACATTTTTGTATTATTTAGTTTTTATTTGACAGTGTAAAGATGTATTACCTATCAAAGTAAGGCTTGCATGGCTGGAGTGTGGATGGTTTTGGAGACTGCTGCGCCGGTACTGCCCCCTGCTGTTAACACCTGGAGTTGCAGTTGGTAGTCGCTGTCAGGTTGAAGTCTTGAGACCATTACTGATCTTTGAAACTATAAAAAACATATATTTATTAAAGCAAAATAGTAGGATTCTATGATGGTTTGATGTAGCAGCCTATTGAAGATGACCACCTGCCCCTGCATCCTAGATAATGTCCTACTTTTTACATTGGTGCTTCATTAATTACATTAAAAAGTCTAACTGAATTTAATTATGTAAAAACCAAGGTAAGATCCATATTCATTGCCTAAAGATTTGGGATTCTGGTCTGGAATATGTTTAGGTGTGTGTCAATTTCTTTCTTCCAATACATTACTGGGCAAATTTTAAATGATGAATACTGCAAAATGTAATTAAATGTCTTATTAACTGATATTAATTTACTATTGATTACATTTGTAAAATATTCTTATAAAAATTACTTTGTTTACTGTGTTTCCCATATAGTTTCAACTAAGCCTCGTGATGGCACAGATCGGTTTTATTTGCATGTTTGAATATTGTTTTGAATGTATATGTCATTTACTGCCTTTATTTTATTTTTTAAAACAACCTATTTAACAATATACTGACTTTATATGATCATGGTAGAAAAGTAAAATTTGTCAGTTTGTTTTAAGTGGTGCCAAAATATAACCCAGAAAGCCAAGTACATCAAAAAAAATCTTGTTGTTGTTAGTGGAGGACATGTCTTACCGGAGCGATCGTCTGCGTTTGGGAGATGAGTGCGTCTTCTCTGGATGTGGACGTGACCTGTGATTGTAGCGTCCACGTGAACTGAAAGCCCTCGACAGCAGAGGGCGCCAGACCGTGCTGGGACATCCTCCATCTGAACGTAGTGAGCAGGGTCCCGTTCACTTGTTGGAATTCAGCAGTGAGACGCTCAGGGCGCAGTACCACCTTTCTGACCGCCAGAGGGTGCTCTAACATAAGGAAAAGATAGTTTTAACATTCAACAAACTATTATGAACTATTCAATCTTAAAGACAATATTTTGGACACTTGTACATTAGGTTTCCAAACAGCGCTCTTACTCAATCTTAACCTGTCAATATAACCTGTAATTTATTATTTTCTTTTCAGTTTTCTCCATTGTTCATTGTTCTTAGACATTGCACATGGTTGTATGATGTGTTTGTTGGATTAAATCATATTTTCAACAAAACATGTGCGGTTCTTTTATTTCATAACTTTCAAATGTAAACTGCTTGAGTAATATTTCATTACAAACCCTGCTTTTTATTTTTTTATATTTGATTAATTTACTTCCCACTTCATCTCAAGGCATATATATTTTTAAAGTAACTGTACTCTTGAAGCTTAAAAGTTACTTTTCCCATCTCGAAAAATGTGTAATTTATTCCGGATCTAGTTCCAGTATAAACATTTACATTAGTCCATTCTTAAAGCTGCACTGTGGGGAACTTGAACTATATATTATTGCTTTGCCTGGAAAGTTCCACTATATTTTATTTAAGTTATCCATCTTGCATTCATTCAGTTACAAACTCTTTTTTTACTTGATTTATAAAGTCAGCGCAATTCCGTGGAACTTTAATCTCCAGGCAAAGGGATAACATTTGTGACAAGCAGTAAACTGGTCATTCTTCAGTAGAATATGTTGGACACTTGAACATTAGGTTTCCAAACCGAGCTCTTACTCAATCTTAATCAGTCTAACATGTAATTTATTTTTCAGTTTCCCCCATTGTTCATTTCTCTTAGAAGTTGCATTGTTGTATAATTTGTCTGTTGGATTACATCATATTTTTCAACAGAACATAAGATGTTTAAGACTACTTTCAACTTCAGCTTGAACAATATTGTTTTGAAATAACAGTAGTCTTGAAGCTTAAAGCCAGTTTTCCCATCTTTGGTCTATAAATTTGTAACTTAGTCTTGGGTCCAATTTCATGTCACTTTGTAGAATGTTGCACTGTATGGTATTAAACTTATCTATCCTGCATTCATTCAATTACTTACAGGCATATTTTGTACTTATACTTTAGTGTAAATACTAGGGGTGTGCAAAAATATTGAAATATCGATATATCGTATCGTTTAATGTGATAATACAGTATCGATATTGTGGACTGCTGTATCGATATATCTCCAAGAGTATTTTTTGGTACATTTTACTAAATTATTTTGTTACAGCTACAGTTTTGTTGCTTGTTTAGTGGAAGGAAACTCGTTTATGCGACACATTTGACATATTCACTGTTTGATGATTAAAATGTTTGCATTTCATATTAACTTTGCACAAGAAGTGGTTTAACAATGGATTTTAGTTTCACAGCCACGATTTACCCTTTATTTTTTATTGAACTGTATCAAATATTTGAAATATATCATATTAAATCCAAAATGCACTGTATCGAGATATGTATCGGATCGTGACCTATAATATCGAGGTATGTATTGTACTGGCAACTTCTTAATGATTCCCAGCCCTAGTAAATACATATATTATCCTAAAATTACACATTCTTACTGAGAGCGGGGTTGCTTTTCCACAGATCTGGTACCAGTAATTGGCCCTAGAGGTGCCAACTGTTTGTCTCCATAGACTTTAAGTTAATGCCATACGATGGAACTTTAGTCTCCAGGCAAAGTAATAACATTTCCACAGTGACAAGTTACATTACGCATTGTTAATTTAGCAGAACAACTGACTGATTTAATATTGCTATTACTAAGCCATTGTTAATAAGCCAATTCATTATAGAGTTACGCAGCCATTAACACTTCACACTGATGTAGTTTATTTACCTTCTGTGTTGCAGGCCAGACTCTTCCCTCCCCGGAGCCTGATGGAGGAGCAGCTCGGGGTCGTAACCCAGGCAACCGCCTCTGAAGCCGGGTCGGACTGCGTTAACCCGGCAAAAACAGCCCCATGGTGTGGTGTGTGCCCTGCAGAGAGAGAGGAGAAAGACTAAGTTAGGCTGGTGCTAAAACATAGAAGTTATGCCAGGTTTTCATGTTTTTCAAATTATTACTTAGTTTTACGTCAGATAAGTGTCAGTTTATGGGAAAAAGTTGATAAAAAAGCACAAAAATACAGGAAGTACTGATCACAGGCTCCCGAAAATGTGCTGTTTAAATCCATTTTGAATTTTTTTTCTTGAGTTTTCAGAAAATCTTAAAACTTTTTTGTCAGTGTTTGCGAATGTGTGCATTGTATCACCATGGTAACTATTATTAAAAATCATATTCATAACTACAACGGGTGTGTTTTTATTTTTTTTGACTGTTCTTTTTCTTGTTTATTTGTTATGCGCCACTTAGTCTTCAAAAAAGCGCCATGTAAGTTTAATTTATTACTAATATTGAACAATTTAGACACGCTTCGACCTTTGTTTACATGAAGGTTGCTAGGTAACAGTTATGGAATTACCTCTAGTCATGTTTTAGCGCAATGACTAGTCTAACCTGTCACACGCACTTTAAATAAGATCTATGACTCCACTTATTGAAACGTTCACTCCAAAATACATCATCTCGTCTTAAGTTTGAGCAGCGGTTGGCAGATTTGAGTTCTGGCCTATTCCAACGGTTAAGATAACGTAAGTGTTTAAAAAAGGCTTCAGTGTAAATCAGCCTCACTCATGTCCTATGACCTAAGCACGCTGTGATACTTATCAGCGCAGCGGATTTGAGATTGTTTCTGACGAAGGCCGAGCAGCGAAATGTCAACAGATCAGAACTCAAACGCTTTTACTCCACGCTTCACTACATCACATGATAAAGGTCATTTTGTGGGATTTGATTTTATGTTTTATGATGTAATTGTTATTTTTTTACAAAGTGGAAAATGCACAGTTATGAAAACAGGTCAGGTCCAAATCCAGATTTAGTTAGATCAGTTTGGATTTGAAGGAAAAACGTAGGAAGATTTTGTAGTTATTTAAAATATTGTTGGTCCATATGAGCCCTTTCAGTGTATCATTTATTGAGTTAAAGATGCACTACTTTTCTTGCTTGTTAACATGTAATCTTGTTTGCAGGAAATGTCTTAGTTGCAGATGTTACTTTTCATTAAAAACCTCAAGTGGAGTCTTGGGCTCAACAGATCTGAAGTCCAAAAGAACCAAGTGTCAAAGTTGAACCAAGGTCAAGTCTCAATTTCAGTGGTGCCAAGTAAACTGCCCTCAGATCAGTTAATTATGCTGACTAATCTCTTTGTCCTAAGCCTCAAGTCTAAGTTTTCAAGTCTTCAAGTCTCAATTCACAATATAAATAATTAAGGTTAGGCAAATATTAAAAAAGCAAATGTTTACATATTTTATACTGTGAATTTAATAAACCATTGTACAGCATGTGTAGTTAAAATAAATCTTCAAATTCATATTATTCTCAGAAATATAAATCAAATGTTGTTTTTTTCACAATCAACCACAAGGGGCTTCTCCATTTTTTTATTCATGTGAATTGCATTCTTTTAAATTAATCTAGAAACACTTAGTAGAACAAGTAGCATTTAATTTGGAAAAAAAAAAAAAATCCTAAACTAATCTTAAATCCAAACAATTGGGATTAAATAAAATTAAATAAATTAAAAGCCACAGCAGAGGTTCACAAATCCATCATAACTTCCCATTTATCATCGTCTCCTAACACTGAACAAAATGTCTTAAACAAGGGTCTAGGTCTGCAGATTCATTAAATAAAAAAATGGTAATAAATTGCAGAGGTTACAAACTAATCGACATGGGGTTTAATTCTATGTGAAAGCTGCAAACCCTGTAGTTAGACCTCAACAAACATGTTATGAAGTGTCCCTCTGTGTCATGTGCCCTTCCTGTTTGTCAGAGCCAGACCGGAACCAAGTTTCTGTCCGGACACTTTGCTCCACCTCGGAACCGGCCGTGGCCTGGAGGACCATGCGCAGGGCCTTGCTTGATAACAATCTGCTGTGCTACCATTGTTGCTGCTACCCTGAGACAGACCAACAGTTCATTGCTACACTCTCTGGACAGTTTCCATGTCGAGAAACACTGTTAGGACTTCACCACAAGTATACTTGATTGGATGAAACAGGGCGTGTGCGCCTTATAAACTATGGAGATTCTACCATTTTTTGGTTTTGCTGCGTGCTTCGAACAATGTGTGAAATGGGACTGAGGTAAGTGTGGAGAGTGAGGGAGAGAAAGAACAGGAAATGGGCAACACTGACTTAAATAACGTTTCAATAATTTTCTGTATCATTTTGAGCATCAAGTCTTTCCAAGTCAACGCTTCAAAGTCCAAGTCAAGTCCCAAGTCAGTGGTGTTCAAGGCCAAGTCGAGTCTTTGGTCATTTTCCCAAATCAAGTCTTAAGTCCTTAGATTGGTGACTTGAGTCCTGACTTTCAAGTCCCCACTTCTGCTAGTTGATGACATGTGAAGTGCATTTACCTTCACAGTAGCGGTCCTCTCCTCACTGGTGGCGTTGTGGGAGCAGGTATGTGGGAGCCAGCGCAGGATGTATGGGCCTTGGTGTCTCTGTTTGGCTGTAAGAGACAAAGAGAGGTCAGACTGTGTGCATACTTTCCACATGTACTCTGCTGTCATCTGAGGAAGAGTTATGGACCATGAAACATCTGAAAGCACCAGGATGAGGTCTGTTTTAGCCACACGCCTCACTGACAGGCCTGCTCTGCTCTGGCTCAGGCTGGGGTGTGGTGATGTGTGGTGCTGGGTCCTGGTCCCACGGCTCATTCAGATAGAGTTAGAGGAGCTAAGACGCCTGCCATGTAATAAGGAGGACAGAGGATTTGAAACTGTAATCTTTTAGTGCACAAGTAAATGTACACATATTATTATTATTTATACCACGGTCCGTGAGAATTCCACAGCCGTGCCTTACCCTGCATTCTATTGAATGTCGATAGTCAATAAATCCAAGTCAGTTCTTGCAACATCTGTTGTAAATACGCTCCTCTGGAACAGTTGGGGGAAATATGGATGGATGGAGAAAGTTTAATGTAACATCAGGTATCGCTAGCTCCTGCTGTTAGCTAACATTAGATGTCAGCGACTCAATTATGGCAGTTTGGCAGTTTGTGTCTACTGTCAAATGATGTGAAAGAAAGTCCGAAAGTCAGAACCCCGATTTGATTGGCCATTCCATTGCACATTCTCGAGGTAGAGTCCCGAGCACAACACAATGCAGCATTAATACCGCATAACGCAAAAGTGGTCCGGCAACATGACATCACCATAGCAACAGGTAAACCAATGATCAAGTGCTGTGAGGAGAATGGAGGGACTAGCTTCATTTAAAACATTAAAATAACTGATATTTGAGACATTTACTGACAGAGGAAAGCTGTTCACATTCACAGGGGAGACATTTCAATTTGTAGCAGTGGTATAAGCGCTTTAAACAATGAGGAGCCATACGTTATGCAGTTGTAACGCACTTCGTTGCGCGTCGTGATGTTCTATGACTCCACTGCAACTGATGTCATCAACTTTCCCTGGCGGTGCGATGCTAACTGTGGGCTCTGCTTTGTCTGAAGCTCTGTTACTGAAGTTAGACTCTAATCTGAGCTTTGTTTTAACACAGTCTGACCAGAAAGAGCTGATTTAGTTGGAAGTACAACACGTGAGATGATTTGTTTTTTGTCTCAGCTAAACTGGACCACGAAAGCTCATATTGATCACAAGCTCCTGAAAATGTGTTGTTTAAATCCATTTAGTTTTTTTTTTTCTTTTTTCTTGAGCTTTCAGACTATCTTAAAACTTATTTGACAGTGTTTGTAACTGAAATCTCTCAGTACACAAGTAAAAGTACACACAGTATGTAGGTTATGTATCTTTCTCGATTGTTTCATCTTGAACAAACAAGAATTAAACACAATGATTTAAATCTGACAACCTTTTGGCCGTCCGTGGAAGTTCAAAGCATTAGTTATGTTCTGTTTTAGTTGAAGCTGGTCCCTCCTAACAGTAGTTCATTTATTTATCCGTTGCTATGGTGATCATAAAGTTGTCAACGCTCTCATTTTCTCCAGACTCGACTTCTGTACTGGGTCAGAATGGAGCAGCTCTCACCGGTTTTAATCTATACAACACATCACATCACATTTAACTTCTTTTCACTGGCCACCTGTGCGTTTTAGAATTGATTTTAAGATTTTACTGATCACTTTTAAAGCCAAGTTACATCTCAGAACATTCCATACTTGGTTAGTATTGTAGCCGCAGCTGCCCTGGGGTACACTGACAGACATACACCACACTCATATTAGGCAAGGTGGGTTAAATGTTTTGCCTAAAAACACAACAAAAGGTTAGGTTTTGGGGTTTTTTTATACTAAAGCTGGCTTACCGAACTGGTGGCTGGAAAACACTACAGTAAGAATCACTGACCAAACACAATAACGTATCTATGGTGACGAGCGGTTGGCGTAATGTCAAGTAATTAACAATGCTTGTGTAAAAGTTACAAAAGAAGCCTGGCTGTACACACCCCAATCCCATTTAACAAGCAAATAGTGAAAGCGTTATCTTGAGTAACTTTGAAAAACACCAGGGCATGTACGAGTAGATGAGGCTCTTTTGAAAACTCATGGATAGTTCTGCTGATGCTTTGGTTTGTTTTCTGCCCCTGTTACAGTTAATTTTCCCAAATGTCAGAATGACTTATAGCTTCCATTGTGTTTGGGCTCCTTTGTTGCACTCACTGTGATAAGGCCACTTCCAGAAGACCTTGACTTGCAGCTGGTCGTCATGGTAATGAGGAGCCGCCACCTCCAGACGCAGCGCTCCGGCCGACGAAGGGTTAAAGGAGGAGTCCGAGTTGTGAGGACGAGAGGGGATGAGGTCAGAGGAGCCAGGAGAGGAAGAAGAGGAGGAAGATGGGAGCTCGTTGGAGAAGTCCTCTGCTACAATGAAGAAAGTACACATTTTTTAGATTAATAAACTATATATTTGTCAAATTTAAAATCCTGTATCAAATTTTCACCTTGTATTTAAAGATGCACTGCGTAAAATTTCTGTTTCTCTTCACGGAAATTTTATTGCATTGTCTAGAATGTTCCACAATTTAGATCTGTCACGAGGGAGACAAGCAGGTTACAGCACTACACTACATTACAGTTCAGATCTGTGGAGAAGCACCCTTATTCACAGAAGGAATTATGGTATTATTGAGCAATAGAAACACCTGTAATGAATAAACGTTAGATGTTTAATGTCAAACTATGGAACATTTCAGGCAAAGCAATAACATCTCCATGGAGACAAGTTGGTAGTAGACCCAGTACCACAATAATTGTGCAATACTAGCCTGATTCATAAGCTGGTTTCACTTTGTGGAAACCATCTGTCCTCAAAACATTAGGATTTGTTCGCTCGACGGTAGGCGGGTACATTTTTTAAATTGAACCAATCGCTGCTGTCTGGTCGTGACGTATGTAATGCACCAAATCCCCAAGGAAGAAGGACAATTACGTCTTTCCCCTTGATAAAATTCACCAACTAATTCTTTTTGTTCTGGCTTTAAATCCTTGATCTCGGGAATCGTTGCCAACACAGAATGTTTGTCTTCGTCTACATCCATCTCGACCACTTTGTTTACTCTTGTGCTGTAACACAAAAGGGACCCAGACAGACGCTTGAGTTTGACATCATGGCTTCACAGCTCTTCGCTGTTTGGCCGGTGCGTGGTCTACAACTTCCGGGGTTCTTGCAAACCGTCTAGTGTATTCTGATTCCTGACCTAGTTGCTGGAGAGAAATGAAATTGAGTGGAGTCACTAGGTGGCACCAGCCTGACTAGCACAATGCAGCTTTCAGCTAAATTTGTACAATAAAGATATATTGTACATATACATTAATACATAAGCCACACTTGAAGTCCACTGCTTAATGTGTGCATCTAACTAGAAAGCATTATATTGTCCCATAAACAGGAAGTGTGTGTTTGCATGCTAGCTGTTGGATTTACATCACAGCAAAGCTCTGCACTGGTCTCTGAGTTGTGACAGGAGCATATAAACTCTCCGCAGTGAGTAATTAGGACACTCAGAATGCATTTACACTGCATTATTCATTCTCTCCACTCTCAGCAGTGGTAAGCTGCAACTATAGCCTCAGCTGCCCTGGGACAAACTGATGGAAGCGAGGCTGCCAAGCTGTGCCATCAGCCCCTTTTTAAGGTAAAGATACAGTTTATTTGAGCCACTGTTCAATTCTACTGAGACAACATCTTGGAAATTCTGGTTCATACTGTATCTATCTGGAGGATTATTGTGTTGGTACTTGTTAGTTAGCAGTTGCAGTTTCTTTTGGTGGTAGTTTTTTCAGTATATTTGGTTCTACAGATTTATACTAACTGAGCATTCTTACTTGGTCCATAGAAGATGAAAATTTTAATACATACATTTTTTGCCCATAATGCTGCTCTATGAAAATTACAGGTTTACTGTATTTACTGAGCCCTGCAGTTATTAAATACACAATAGCAGACTTTATTTGGCCTGCATGCCCCTCATTAGTCTGCAGAAATGAGGGCCCAGAACATGCACAGAGCGAGTGATGAATAGTGAAATGTTCCATATAAAGTGTAAGTGTGGGGCTTGATAATTAAACTGCAGCTGCTGTAATTCTCAGAGGGCCCCCGATGGGTCACCTATAAATACCAGTGCTGCCTGGACTCCCATTAACACCAGCTCTTTCCACTGGAGTCACTTAAACACCGCAGCTGCAGCGCTCAAAATGCTGACTGTCCACAAACGCACCACTACTGCAGGAAAACTACAAGGAAATTATGAACAATGACGCATGGTTTTACATTTGACTCACTCTGCACTAGGTTGCTTTTTATAGCGATTAGGGTCATTAGGCAAAAGTTTTATTTCAGATGCCCTCCCATGATGCAACAAATCATATAGAGTGGCTGAACAAAAAATGTGCACAATAGGTAAGATTAGGCGACCAAGGTGACTAAGCGGACCAATCCTAGCTCAAGATTTGTAGATGGGGAAACAAAGTATGGCTTAATAGTCCAATGAGGTCCATTCGGTCTTCCAGTAAATTATGTTATTAGGTTCTTTTTTCAGATCAAGAGTTTTGTTTTGATACCTGTTTCCAGTTACCAGTTTCGACTGCTCACTAGTGGTCTTCCTCAGAGTGGTCACGTGATGTTGCTGTGTCATGTCCAATCAGCTGATTTATACAAAAGACCTCTCCATAAACTATAAACTATAGCTATGACTATAAACCAGGACGAGGGGGCTTTTTTACTCTCACACAAATGGGATACTGTCTTGAGGAAGTCACACTGCAGATGGCACTGTCATCCTGCCTCCACCGGTCAGAAGACAGCGCCAAAATCTGAATAAATCAGCTGACCAGACACATCACATCAACATCATGTGACCACTCTGAGGAAGACCGCTAGTGAGCAGTTGAAACTGTCAGGTATGAAAACAAAACTCTTGGTCTGAAAAAAGAACCTAATAACATAAAGTATGGCTTAATAGGCATATTTAATTGCTAAGGGAAAAAACAAAATGAACGAACTAGTGGATCAATACTGTATTTAAGCTGTTTCACGCAAAGTCATATATTTTTACAGAGAGAGGAAGCACAATTTTATGAAATGCAGTAATATTAATATTTGGTTTGTGGTTCAAAATAATTGTAAGATGCCAGAAAAAATGAGCTACAGTACAAACCATGTATTGTTAAAGCCCAATAAAAGGAGCCTCATAATGTTCTTAACTAAATAATATGAACTACTACTGGGACCAATTTGGGTGCTTAAATAAGTAATAGCAGCAATTGAAAGAATTGAAAGAATTACTGCTATTTCTTTTTTACTGTTCTATACTGTACACTGATTATAGAACATAACATATATCACTTAACACTTAAAACTGTAATATTTCTCTTTGACTGGATTGTTTGTTAGGAGATGAATGTTTGGGTTGCCAATTAATTCACTGGTAAAATATGGTTCAAACAAGACAAAAAGGTTGTGAGCCAGACTATTGCGTTGATTATGAGTGAGTTTTTTTTTTTTTTTTTTGAGCATTTCCAGACCACCACATACAACAGAGTGTTTACCTGTGTGAGCGATGGTAGTGAACACAGCATGCGCTTTGAGACTCTTCAGCCTCTTTTGACCCCAGTAGGCCACCGTCTGCACTGTCACGACATAAGCTGTGTCAGGCTGCAGTCCCTGGAGCCACATCTCACACTGCGCCTAAAAGCACAAACAAAAACAGTCATCGTTAGGGAGGGAGTTATCTTGACCTCTGTGACTCTTCTTCTTCTTCATTCTTTGGCTGATGTCGTCCGCAGGCTGCAGCTCCGGATAGTGTCACTGTCATGGTCCTGTACACGCAGGACTCACAGGAATTTGTAAAAACAGGGTGTGTTTAATATCAAGTTTATGATCAAGCTTATAAATTAGTTTTTTCCTTATGTTATGTTATGTTATATAATGTTATGTTATGTTATATGTTATATTATAATGTTGTTTCCTCGTCACAAACATACCTGGAGTTTTGTTTTGTTTCATTCACACGTTTAATACATATTTTAATGCAAATTTAGGGTGAGTTCTTCTCTCAAACTGAAAACACTTTGTTCCAGCTTGTGATGTGATGTGGTAATATAGTGTTTTTAAACTCCAGTCAATTGGATGATTTCAGCCCTGGAATTTCCAATCTCTCCTCAAGAACTTGTAAAAGTTAACTTAAAAACTAACTTGAAAACTACTGCTTCATGACATCACAACGTGGAGCAGAACATTTTGAGCTTACATGTACTAAAAGGTTACTCAAACATGTGTGAATGAAACAAAACAGAACTTCAGATACGTTTTTGATGATGTAGCAACATTCTAACACAGCTTAAACCTCACAAGGGTCAATTTTGCGTAATATAGGACCTTTCATTTAACTCTGTAACCATGTGAGTGATAGAGGAAGTTGAACCCCACCCTCTGAACAGTCTTTTATATTCTCCTGCATACACCTCTTACACAGTGGACCTGGTCTGCATTAGCCCCTGCATTGTATTTGATTGACATCTCATTAACAGGCTCTTAGCATATCCGCGCTGTCTGCCTGAGCTAGTCACAACAAAGAGATGCAACCAGGATAACGAATGTGCGTGTGCGTCCCTGTGTAAGTTATGCATCAGAATATAGGACAAAAACTGCAGTTAAAAGCTGTTTTTAGTGACCTATAGACAAAATGGGGTTGAAGTATTTCCATTATGGTTGGGATAGACAAAACACATGTCCCTGTACAGCTGCGTGTGTGCGTGACTGCGTCTGAGAGTTCGTCTATTTGCGAATCGTCCGGAGAAAAGCCTGGTTTTCTATTTCTGAAAAGATTGTCACCTCGCATTATGTGTAGGAAGCTGATGTATGTTTAAATAAGGCGACATCACAGGTTTTCCAAAGCTTTGAATGTCATTTTTACTGTACATTTTTGGGCTGTGTTGCAGACAGTAAGACCACACGACTACTGGGCTGACTAGAAATCAAGGGGAGTGACAAGATTCTCAGAAAGCAAAAACAGAATTTACATTTATAGTTTTTGTTTATATTGCTCCATGCTCGTTGTAACAAAGAGTCATACAGCAAACAGAACATTTGGTATAAAAGATGGCTGCCCAAAACATATTCAAATATGAATTAATACCATAGACTAGTTGTGTAACAGTACACAAAAATCACGGTTTGGTACGTACCTCGGTTTTGAGGTCACAGTTCGGCTCATTTTCAGTACAGTATGGGAACAAAATGCAAAACCATTTGCTTGTTGTTTATTTGTGTGTTTATTATACCAATTATTATTGTTTTAACAATATACAAACAAGAAAATTAAATAAATGCAAAGTGCTGCTTGGTAATGCTAATAAGTTAAATAAAATATTCTCAAATAAGCAACAAAGGTATGAAATATTATAAAAAATAAATTCCTTGTAAACAGTAAACAAAACTTTTTAAAAAGTAAAGAGCAGCACTAACAGTAACATTTGTTGCGGGCAAAAGATGAGAGTGAGGACTGCGGCACGATGACCGTAGTTTTCCTAGGATTCATGTGGCTTGGAGGAATGTAGTCAAGGTGGGGGGCAATTGTTGTCAATTGTTGCCACCCTAACTATAAAGCGCTGCGGGAAAACACTGCCACCACAATCACGGATGACTTCCCTTGTGAATATTAAAGAGCCAGGCCTTCCGTGTAGCTGCACATGTAGTGGTGGAATGTAAACACACACAATTTGCATGAATTCACTCACAGCCCTACACCAAACCGAACGTTCCGTACCAGTACCTGTACCCGTGTACTGTATAAAGAAGTAGACTAAGGAAGTATGATGTCAGTCATAGCGTTCGGCTCCAGTCAAATGATGCTCACCGAAGCTAGCAGTTATAGGGGCGAATTTGAAGTCGAGTTCCATATTAGAAATAGGAATTGATTTATGGACAATATAGAAAAATAAAAAAAATGAGGAACATGTAGAGTGGTTTAATATGAGTATTTTAAGACCAAAATGACTGCAGCAGTTACAACGAGAGGGGTGACGTTTTTTCAATACAAAGTCGATGGAGCCAGAAGTGCCTCCAATAACACTTCCTGTTTGGAACAAGGTGATGAGCAGGTTAGCTATGTCCATACACTCTATGATTAATACATATTAATAGATTTAATTAGAGATTCATCCCACTGTCTAAATTAAAAGTGCACTAAATAACTTTTTAGAGGTGCCATTGCTCTGCCTTGTTCCACAATATGGCATTGAACTGGTGGTATATATTACATCTATTCAGGAAAGTTTTATTGCTTAATTACTGAATACATTAAAGCATGCACTCTTATTGTGAGTGGATGGATCACCTCTCCACAACTCTGACCTTCACTTCAGCCTGGTGGAGTAACCTGATGTCTCTGCAATGACATACTGTGAAACATTCTACCTAAAGTAATCTCCATGGAGATAAACAGGTGATAAGCACTTCACAAGCAAAGTTAGAATAACACAATGAGGAAAAAAACATAACCAGAAAAACTGCGTAAATGAAATCTGAACTACTACTTGCACTAAGCACCTTTTTCACACACTAATCCAGTCACATGTTATTGTCCTGTGTGCTGCCCCCTGCCTGTCCTGTGATGACACTGTGGTGGTGAGTGCACACACAGCTGCAGAACATGGGGGTCTCATTTACATTCCACTGGACCCATCAAGCAAAGCAGAGACCAGAGAATGACTCCAACATATGAGCTGGAATCACACAGGTTACATTTCCTATCAAACTAAACACTGCGCACCAGGTTTTCATGTTTCTCGAGTTGGTGGGATAGTACCTGTAGTCAATATTTATCATAGTTTTACAGTTAAGTGTCAGTTTGTGGAAAAAGTAGAGATAGAAAAGTACAAAAATTGCAGGAAGTAGCGGTTCCCAAGTGAGCATGGCAACTTTACACCGAAAAACTGTTTCCCCTCTCTGCAATGAGCCTCGTAAATGGACATAGGTAATGTACCAGCCACCGCATTCCAGATAGGAATTTTGCATGCAGCTCTTCCGGCTCCTACTGACCCTGGCTCCCACTGACTTACATTTAAATATTGTGGCCCCTGTCTCTATCAGTGCTGCTGTGAGCCTCGTCAATTTGGTCATACATTTTTCCGATTAACCCACTCTACAGGATCCTGGGGTTTTTTTGTTTGCTGTTTTCTCTGTCAAAACAAAATCCTATTCATAATATAGAGCAGGGGTCACCAGACATTTTTCTCTGGGGGTCACATAATCATTTCTGGCTGTGATGGGAGCTGTATAATAGAACTGTATGATCCTAATGACGTAACATATTATATTCTGCCACACTTTCTTGACATATCAGACAAACTGCACAGTCCTTACACTGAACAAAAAAATTATCAGTTGTCATATAATTATTTATATATAAATACTTAATATAAATATCATTTTTTAATAAAAATCTACAAAATACAAGATGCAGATGTGTTATTATTTGCCAAAAACTAATAAAAAAAAATAGACCATGACAACTTTGAATGATTGTCTCATAGGACCAGTTCAAGTGGTGGGGACAGAAGGGCTGGGGGGACGGTCAACAGGGAGTAGAGGGCAGGAGTCAGCCCGTGGGTCTTAGTTTGATGACCCCTGATATAGAGCCTGGCTCCAAATTCACCCCAGTAACCACTTTATTTGACTGGAGCCGAACTCTACGGAAGGCGTCACACTCACTTAGTCCACTTCCTTATACAGTTTATGGTCCTGCAAAAAGTAAAACCATAAACTTCTCCAAGATTTTAAAAAGGTTAGTGCTAGACAGAGACGGAAGTGATACCATTGCTCTGGTTGCTACAGTAATATGTTGGCATCAGTTGCTATGAACAGGCATAAAATGTTTTATTTTATGGAGTATTTTGAGATAAGGTGACTCGTTTGTTTTTGAAACTTACGTCTGCTAACACGTTAACTACACAAACATTTTCCTAACTTAACCCATGTTTCTAATCTCAACATAATCTTGTTCCTAAATTTAACCAAACCCAAACCTTCACCATTTCCTAAACCTGAACCTTAACCAAAGCCCATTTCCTGTCCCTCCTGACCCCACACTCTATCATTAACTAGAAGAAACTCAGCAAGGTTTTCATCAAATCTTCAACTAAATATTTTTAGTGTTTTAGTGAAATGAGTCTAACCTGTCATATGCACTTTAAACTGCACTGGGAGTTAAAATGGCCGTTGCAGAGTGAGTTTAGACAAGTCCCGAGTGTATTATCTTGATTGAAGTTAGACTGGTCTTGTCTAAGAGTCTATTTAAGGAGATTATGGGCACTTTGGAGCGGAGCACAGTGCTTTGAACACGTTACATCATCATTATACTTCATTATAATCGTATCCACAAACACTCACTTTGGAAATGCACTTTCAACATCACTACAAAAAGAGCAGTGTGGATTTAATATGCTCTAGGTCAGATTAAAGGAGGTACGGTCCTGATCCTGCACGTGAGATGAAGAAAGTCATGTTATAGATTTTCTTTATGTTTGTGTTAATGTGATTGGAGGTTCATAGCAATATTTTTGTCAGAATGCCCCAAGGCAGCCGTGGCTACAGAGGAAAAAAGACAAAAATTCAGTCACACTTCATTATAATCTTAGTTAACTTTAATAAAGCATGAAGAAAGAGTTAATTAATGGGTTTTTGTT